ATCTGCAATCTTTCTTCGACAATATTGCGGTAAAGGTGGTAGGTATCGAATCACGAATCGGGGAGACGCTTTCGAGTCAACGAGGCCCTGCGAGGATACCGAATGAAACTCTGAAAAACTGGTGCTGCTCGCTGACAATTTCTTCAAGCCACTGTCGTCATGTCAAGGACCCGCAGGATAGGGATCCGAAACCTCAAAAACGTCGTGGGCCTCACAATGGTCTCCCTTACCATGCAATGACACCAAGATAATAACAAGGAACATAAGCGGTATGTTTTCACAACACGATGAGAGGTGACAGAAGGGTCGTTGTTAATACGAGATGTCCATTACTAGGGAACGACCAGGGAAACTCCACTGCGACCGGAAACTGTTTCCAAGCGAGCGAACCACAGACACGTCTACCTCAAAGAAATGAGGACTATTGGCTTCTTCTTTTGAATTCTAGCGAAGATAGAGAGATCTCGGACTTGACTAGAGTCTATCTCGTTTCTATTTGGCTAGAGATGGGAGTAGAAGTGTCTCACATCACCGTCAACGAAGATCGGTCGTTGTTGATCTGAAGCCTTTGAGCAATGGTCCCAGATTGAACAGCTTCTAATGCTTGCTCTCGAACTAGACCAGGTAAGGGTAACCCGTCTGCCTTGCTGGATTGGCATATATGTCTCTTTTGTTAGTATGACCGCTGCCGGTAGAACCCGAGGGTAAATGGCCGAGATATCCCCCCTGATTGGATCTCACAGGGACCCCAGAGATCAAAGGCACGGATGATCTTCCCAAGGAGACTAATCAAGGAGACCTGTTCAAACCGATGTCTTTTAATACTCATGCATTGGCTTCGTTCTAGGGAGTGTACCCCGAAGGTATGTAGATCTGGTACGGCAAACCCGTAACAGTGCACACTCACCCCCAAAGGATGCCTACAAACTCCATGTACGGAGTAGAGCTGTGCGACAATATTGGACGAACGGTCCTGGCCCATTTGTTATCGTTGATAATCAAAAATAACAAAAAGGGAGAAACGGCCGTCGTCAGCCATCGACGGGCACGTCAACCATAGTCTGTGATGATGGTCAGAAAAACGGCAACCCGTAATTAACCAGGCATGAGTAAGGCCTCGAACGGGCCACCTTGGATTCTGCCCCTAAACATGCTTTCCTGGGAGGTATATAACCCAGGGTTCACTGCATTCGGTAGATAGTTGGCGTTGAGTGGAGCTCCAATGGAGTCTTCAGGATGTATTTCCCCTCACCAGTGTGGACTCCTATTGGTGCCACACGACGCCAGGCCGCTCACTCTCGTCTGCTTCTTTTGCCGTTTCTTCTCCGTCTCTTCTCCCCTCTCCTTCTCTCCTTCTCTCCGGGGCGGGAAGGCGGGGCGGGAAGGGCGGGAGGGCGGGGGGAAGGGGGGAACACATCCTCACTTCAAGACTCACTAGGCATTCGTTCTCTTTGCCCACTATCTTTGCCATACAAAAATGGAACCAAGTCGAATGGGGTGGCTGTTCGACTCAATCGGCGAAACAAGTTCGACATCGGCCTCGCCCATGATCATCACAATCGTACACTTCCGCACGCTGAATGGAGATACTCTTGTTCAGCAAGCAGTAAAATGGGTGTAACGATGGGTGCTCATCCTCCATTAACGAAGACGAGATACCGATACTCCGATATCCACGGGCCAACAAAGCCTATGTTCCGAACCATGATGGGCATGCAGATCATGGGGGCCGGTGAATTTGTCGAATCTTCTCGTTGCAAAACACGAGGATGACCAGTAAAAACAAGCTTTATCGGTGAATAGGCCACAGCTGCTCGACAGGCCTCTAAATGTGGACGCCATACCAGACACAAGCCATCTAACTCGATTACCGTGCCCGTATATGGTCTTCAACGCCACATAAAAGGGGCCGACATACAACCCCGAAGTCTCGCAAAAGGTGAGTAGCGGATACCACATTAGGCTCTGAACATAACAAGACCCAGGAGCATACATCCCAGTGTACTAATCGAAGTGGAAGTCGGCTAATCACTTGAGGTCAGCGTCGAAGAAGGATTATAGGACCGACTTGCGGAATCCCACCATAAACCTCTATCCCAATCGACCCACGAGAATCAGTCGCGGCAGATGACGGACGCCTATGATTTCCAGAGCCTTTCACAAAGAAATTCCAGCTCGTATACGAGGTTGGCCCGATATTAATCCTCACGACTCTCATTACTCTCAGGACCCTGGCGAACCTGTTCACAGTAGCGTTAACATGTTCAAGAAAAAACGCAATTTACTCATCTTTTCGTTTCCCCTGGATTATTCTGGTCCCGGGCGCCAGACACCAGCCCGCAGACGAGGACATACAAATAGGGGTTTTCGTGACAACGCCTCATATGAAGACATTATCCCTCGCTGAAGAACAACAAAAAGGACATCCAGTGTGTGACAAAACCCCAGAATGTTGGCACCTTACATGGGGTATATCTCAACTGCTACACAGTCGCGTCGCTCCTCTAATCCACCAGGGCATGATCACCTGGAAAGGCCGGCATGGATCAGAACCGTCTCATGCTTTACGTGACAATTTGCGATAGTCCGATAGTCCCCGAGGTCTTGAAGGACATGCACAGAGCTTATAGAAGACAAGTGAAGCGCGGACGAACAGATACCATGTCGTCGGAAGATATGAAAAGGAAATCTCAGACAGGGTTCTCAAAAGGGTCTTCAAAACCCAAAGGAAATTGAGTCGATAGCATATCTGAGCACCATTACGACCTAAGCCCTGCGTTAGTGCGGCACGAGAGACCATTGAAATGCACGATTTGCGGGACAGGGGCAAATATTGACCATGCGTTTTCACCTGGTGATCTTTGCTGTATTGACCTCCGAAAAACTCGCCCTACTCTCTTCGACGAAAGCCCTATTAATGCCTCACCAAGCCATATGGTAACTATTACCAAGCCGATTATTCTCGAGACAAAAGACTTGTTGCAGATTCCATGGAAAACCGCAATATCGGTCTAAGGAAATGCCTCGAAGCCTGTGTTCGATACTGGACAGAAATTCATCCTCCTATGGTGGACTGCTTGAAAGCTACCCAATTGTTCTTGACGAAAACCAATGTTCCCTTGACAGGTGATACCGGCGCTGATCGAACAGCTACTGCCATGCCCGATTCCGATATTGGCCAAAAATACGCGCATTCTAATTTCTTATTTATGAAAAACGGAAGGCGACGGTGGATATTCATTCGTTCGAAGAAAGTTCACATTGAAGATTCCGGGGGAATCGGTAGTCGGTGGCAATCGACCTAGGTGACGCTACCATATGGCTCGGCTGCAAAGTTTTCTAAGATGGGGTTTCAGAAGTTGCGGAAGTTGCACGTCGGTTCGACACCCAGGCATCAGCAGAAGCTTGATCCTGTGGTCAAGCTACACTGTATGTTGGGATGACTAAACCATTTGCCACCCGACTTTTGAATAAAACCATGGAAGTGAATTGGTAAAACACTTTGTCCGGGGGCTTGTTTGGGCTGTTTCTTGGTCGCTATCCGTGTCATTCGTTCCCTTGTCTTTTCGTTTTCCCAGGGAAATCAACCGGAGGCTTGGACCGACGCAGTCCCTTTGATGGCAATAAAGGTCGACCGGAGGATGATGCATTATGAAATTGCCTTGAACTCCGACGCATGAACTGAGAAATTTCGGTTCGATGCCTAGAAAAGGGGGGCGGGTGGTCTTCGAGCAAGAAAGCGTGGCATCACTAGAGCCGGTATACGTCCATCGTCGAAGGTAAAGCAGCCGTTGCGGAGTGCTTGTCCTGTAGACGTCAGCAGATCATCTCACATCGTCGAGGTGAATCCTTGGTTCTTCCCGTCCATATTGACGATAAGCAGTGCTGGTGGGCTCCATGTGTCCGTTGACTGTTGACCCAGGTGTCAGCATCACCCAACGCCGTCGACGTGACCACAATGGAAATGGACGGGGGAAAAAGGATGAAAGAAGTCACATATTTCAGGGACCGAAAAGTTTGAAAAGGTTCGATCTAACGAGTGCGTCCGAACGCTGGTCTAGCGAGTGATGTTCCTCTGCCGGGACGGTGGCGGAGACACAACGAGCGACAAGATTGGCTGGTACTTTTCTCCGAGAGCCCATATAGTCCCAGCCATTCCACGACTGGGGAACAGAGGCCGTGTGGTTCTCTCCATCGAGCTCCCGAACATGGTCTTTTAGCCTCACACACTCCTTCCGTTCTTCTCTCGCTGTCTCTCGCACCTTCTCTTTCCCTCCCCCTTCTTCCTCGTTGGGTCTGGTTCCGTGGAGATGTGGTATGCAGGATGAATGAGTGGCGCCTATGCCAATGGGAGCCATCGCCCAAGTGCCTACCCGCGTCGTTGGACCATTGGCGTGCTTTTACCTTCCTTGCCTGTGTGGCTGTTATTTCCGGACATCTAGCTCTGGCTGAAGGGGCCTTCTTGGAGACCAACCCACCCGCCAGTCATGATTCGAAGATCTTGCTCCATCGTGGTTTAGGTCGCTTTAGGCCAGAGATACCCCCTCCAGCCTGATTTGACCCCTTGCGGTCTGTCGTTTTTTCGCCGTTGAAACTTGAATTCCACCTCTGGCCGTAAAGTGGAGCAATGGCCTCTTCCGACTGGACGGTCGTGCAATACTCGACAGTGCGTGCATGGTTCGACGCCAAAATTCCCAGCCTATTATTACTGACGTTTATGTACCCAAAGAGGGACAGCCGTCGTCACAGACCCCGTACCCTCGCTCAGGCACCTCGATCGACCGGACAGCACTCGGTTTGCGGGGCTCTGAACCGGCATAAATTGGACGACGTGGAATGACCTTCTCCTCTTCAGCTCTCTCCCCTGCTCAAGCCACACTCACGCATGCCATAAGGCGTACCCATACACTTCTTCGACTCCGCCGGTGCTCGACAGTAACCAACGACGTGTTGAATTTATCCATCGAGAATAAGCAGGTGCAAGCCGACACAAGAACACAATGGAGCAGCGAAACAGTGGTTCTATGAACGCTTCGGAGCAAAGGTAGGCGACCATCTTTCTTTCCCTCCTATCTGGCCTTCTTCGTGGCTGCGAAATCTGTCACTGGCAGAACCCGGAACTTGCAAGGTTGACGGCTCTGAAATGCTAATATCTATTGAACCAGCGGCAACACACACGGCGGAAGCCACGACAACCAAAACGGTGACCCTGCCGCCAGCCTGGCCGAGGGGTTCCGATACTACAAAGATTTCCTCGAACAGCTGTTAGATTTGGTTCGCCGCAATGACCAGGCGGATCTAGACCGCATAATTTCTATGATTCGCTCCGGTGCTTCTAATAAGGATATTCTTACCGTTTTAGTCGAAGTACAAGGCGAAGGTAACCTCACTGGCCAGGAATGACGCGCAGGGGGCGGCCTTTGATCAGAATGAGGACGATAGCAGATGGATTTTTTTAGCTGCCTGCCCACAGTCATTTGGTACCGGCTTTGGTGACTTCTTGTGGTGTCTTTCTCTCTCCTTCAACTGTGTGGGGGTGGATCGGGATCCACCATCGAAGAAGACTCGCGCCCTTAGATGAGATGCTTGACTCTAAACATGTATCGCCCGCCTTGTTTGCTAGTTTGCCTAGGCACTTCTCTCTTTATCCTGTGTTGTTTTCTTGGTTGAAAGATATCGTTGAAATCTTAAATGCAGTGCTCTATCTACTTCTCGCAAATGGCGCAGTCCAGACATGATCGATTCCATCTTCTCAGACGCAGAGCCCGTTTGGTATGGTAGTTGGCTGAAGGTTGCCTTTCTTGTGGCTTTGTTCATTCGTGAAGATTTAATCGATTCATATATAGGAGACAGCATGTCTAGTCAAAAGCATTGACATGTCAAGGTTCACATACATGATAGAAAGAAGTTTCGGGTGGGTTCAGCTCGCCTGTTTTCATCGCCGAAATTATTCTTTGGTCGGTGCTTGAAGAGATAGAGATGGATAGAATTAGGGAGGAAAAGGACACGACAGATAAAAAAGCAAAGAATGGACAGAAAAGAAAGGGACGGTAGCGATAAACGAGGAGGTCGTAGAACATACTGCGAGGGTAACAAAGAGGATGAAATCCAGAGCGGAAGAGGGAGGAGCAAAATAGGTGCCCCAGGCCAGTGACCCCCGCTGACTACTCTTGATAGCTCTCTCCCCCCCCCCCTCTCTCTCTCTCATGTATCTATACCTAGGTCCTTCAATGTTCCTATTTGATTCTTTCTATGTCGATCCAGTACTACTCCACCCAATATTGATCTCATGATGCATTCTCATACTCGATATTTAGATGGCTCCCATATGGATCCATGTAATATACCTTCCTCTGGAACAGGTGTCAGAACTGATTGAGGCATATGAAGTGTATCCAAAAATGACACGAGTTATATTTAAGACCCCTGAGAATGCGACCCGTTTCGAGATAACTTGTTCCGACAACCTAAGACTGAAACGGAACTTTGGGTCATCGTCCCCTAGATTGTTGAAAGCCTCTTCATCCAATTGAAACCGATCATCACGCTTTCTCTGGTCCCTCATCTTGTTCTCGATCACTAGTCCTGCTGCGAAGATCGTGCTCATAACGCCACAAAACACCATCATAGCCAGGGAGACACTATACCCAACGATGTATTGAGGGGCTGCATCTCTGTTGAAGATATTACTGGCGATAATGCCACCGATATTCCCGAATCCGACTTGAATCGCAAGGCCGATAGCACGTTTGTAATGTCCACTCAAATTGTTGGCAAACCAGACGATGGCCACTGATTGAACGATGTAACACCCCGTAGTCACGAAGAAAACTGCCATATAGCGAACTCGCACATCCGTCCCACCCGAAAGTGGCCCTTGACATAGCAGAATAATATACCCGATACAGGAAAAGATGACTCCGAATATCACAAATCCGTAACGATGTTGCACACGACCAGTCAGATAAGACACGATCACAGTGACGGCGGCCGCCACGGCCCAGACTGGGATGCTTTGCACTTGGGTCTGAACGCCATCATACCCCAATGAGTTCACGATAGAGGGAATGAAAAGCGCTGTTGCATACTCCGAGAAGATGATACCGAGGTAAATCAGACTTCCAATATAAATCTTCCAATCGGACATTATTCGCTTCCATGCCGCTGCATCAAGTCGATCCATTCTCGCTCCCTCGCCGACATCGCGAGAGTTGCGTTCCTTCAGCAGCTTCTTCTCTTCGTTCAGAAATTTAGCCTGTTCAGGCCAGTCGGCAATGATGAACTTGGGAATCGCCGAGGCGATGGATAGAAGACCTTCAATTATGAAGATCCAGCGCCAGCCTGAGTAGCCACTTATTCCATGCATATGATGAAGGGCGTATGCTAATAGACCTCCGAAGGCCCCGGCTACAAGACCGGCTCTCCACAGAAGAGAGAAGCACTTTTGGAAATCATGCCTCTTATAGTACATTGACATGAGGTGTGCACATCCCGGCACGAATCCACCTTCACAGAGACCCAAGAAGAAGCGGCAGGCGATCAACCCGGAAGTGTTTTTAACAACCCCTTGACACATACACACAACACCTGTCTGAAATGTCAGAGATTGCGGTCGGAACAAGTACGTGGGCTTTATGACTTACCCTAGTAGAACGTTAACACGCTGATCCACGTCGATGGCGAGAATCGCTTGAGAATGATGTTGCTTGGAATGTCTGCTAAGATATATGGCACGAAGAAGATCTGCATCACAATACTCATATCCGTCCCAGTCATGTTGAGCTCTTGGAGAATTCCCAGGACACTGACATTTCCAAGGTTGATACGATCCAGGAAGCCAAAAACAAAAACAATCCAAAGGGAGACCATCAGATGTAGGTCAATCTTGCGCATAAGGGCGCTTTCTTTCTTCTTGTCAATCTGTGGGCATCTTCCTTCCGAGCCCTGCTCAACCTTCTCGATGACATGTTCTGGCTGTTTTTCCATGGTTCTCAAAAACGCGAATCAAGGGACGCAAGAAATGATTCCGACGAAATTTGCCTCTGTCATGGAACGAGGAAAATACAAACAATTTAATATCAACGAAAATCAGTACATGAAAATAAAACAAGAACTGAACAAATAAAAAAAGAATTCTCCTGTAATGCAACATCAGCCGGGGACTCGACTTTTCTGGCCACGAATCCCTGCATTTATTCATGCGACTCTGTCTTGATGACTATTGAGGCCAAGAGTCCATCCCGATGATGGCTTCAGCAATTTTAAAGCCACCAGAATTGTCGAGGTGCGTTCCTCTCCTTAACATCCTAGTGACCCCTGCCACATTATCTGCAAGGTGGCGTGGTAGCGAGATGCAGTTGCGGTTCGGCTTAATTAACACCCAGCGGACAAGCAGGGAAGCATCAATGCCCTAGCGATACAAGTCTATACGGATAGATTGGCCTAGGAAAATGATCCGCACTTGGCTTATTGAACCACACAATTATATTGTGGCCGGTGCAGGCATGGGCACACTAAGTTAGACGTGATTAAAGCGTAAATAATACGGCGAGTCTCCTCTGTCCTGGTCGGCTTCCTTGTCTGTTCCGAGGTAAAAATCCGACATGGTCGACCCTGAATAATCCACCAATCACTGAAAGTCGAAGCAGAAATAACACGGGTCAGAAAGGGACGATAGGGGGTTCCCGACAGGGAAATATACACTGATACGGAGGTCTAGAAGGCGTGCCCTCCTGACCAAGGGCACGAAATGCCTAGCTTCGCAAATTCTCATTCTGGGCACTCTTCTCCCCTTATGCCCGAGAAACATCCTTGACGGGGAGAGTCTCATTAAACAGTAGTACCATATACTACAATGTAGACGTCAACCTGCGAGAATCTGAGCGCAGCTTTTATCTGATCAGTGAACAAAAGAAATTCCACTGTTCAGTCACTATGGTGAAATCCCAGACAGCTCTGCTGCACTGTCATACCCATATCTGGTCTTTTCCATCCTCACCCCAATCGTTGTTGCTACAAGACTGCTGGGTCGACAGTATCTTTCCGGTCAAATCGGGTCAGATGACTGGACCATTTTGACATCTTGTGTGAGTCAGGTTGAGGGCAGTTTTTTCGCAACGAATAAACTAATGAAGACTATGTTCAGGTATTCGCAGAAACGGTGTCGATTCAAATGATAGTTGGTCAGTGTGCAAGGACTAGAAGCAAGCGCTCTTTGGATTCCGCTAACCAGATGTTGTCAATCTGCAAGTGGGCATTCGGTAAACATGAAGGTGATGTTTCTCAGGAATTGCTCACTCGAGCATTAAAGGTCAGTGCAAAGAGTTTTTGAATACAATATTGTCCGGGGAAAAGACTAACAAGATCGACCATTCGCAGCTCTACTTCATTGCCCAGATATTGTATAAGATCAATATCGGCCTCACGAAGATCAGCATCTTACTGTTATACCTCCGCCTCTTCATACAACGCTGGTTCTTTATCACCTGTTGGGCATGGATCGTGATCATCACTGCATTTACTCTCGGCACGGTGATATCTAGTATCTTCCAGTGTTCTCCCGTCCAATATGCCTTTGATAAATCTCTCCCCGGCTCTGGCTCCTGCATTAACTTAACCGCATTCTGGTACGCCAACGCCGGGTTCAATATTTTCAGTGACCTAGTTCTCGTGGCTCTCCCAGTGCCAGTCATCAGTCGACTGCAATTACCACCGAGACTGAAGCTCATCCTCTGCGGCATTTCGCCTTTGGTATATTGTGAGTGTGTTTCCTATCATTTCCCCGAGACCAGTCAAGCCAACTGCTAACGAAACGCTCCTCCCCCAAAAAGCGTCTGCATTACATCTATCCTCCGCATCACAACTCTCGACATCGCCACCTCCTACCTCGGCATCACTGGAATAGCATCAACTCGTCCAAATGGACCGTCATTGGATCCAATCTCGGCATCATCTGCGCCTGTCTCCCCGCTCTTCGTCGCCCTCTTGCCTTCCTCTTCCCCCATCTCTTTGGAAAATTCTCCCGTAATGCTAATTACGCCGCCGCCGACAGGCAGGCGACTCACTCCCGCGCGGGTCGACCGAATAATTCCTCTGACCCTAGTCGGAGAAAGTTCAACAACAGGGCTGCGTTCAATAAATCCGTCTCGCGCTACGTCATCCATACCGAGAAGCAGGGGAGCACCAGTCAGGAACAGATCCTCCCGGATGCTGGAGAGTATACAAAGGAGGGCATTGAACGACGTACGTATCTGTCCGGTACGAGTCTGGGGAGAAGGTAGGGGATGTCGTTGAGATGGACCGGTTTGAAAGTCTACGTTCATAATGATAGTTTTCGGGGGTTCTGGTCTACTTTTCAGAATATTTTATCACGTATTTTTTTTTTCACATATCTTAATGTTCAAACAGACGAACAATCGTAAATTTTTGTTTGACGTAAATCTAATGAAATCCCGTCTACTGCAAACGCTATATGTCTCTGCTCCTTCGTTTCTTTTTCTAAGGCGTGCAACGGCCCGTGTAGCGAGGATACAAGCTGCAGTCTCTCACGGTGTAACGACCGCACAACCAGGCGAGGAATCGTTCCAGACCCAGACCGTATCCACCGTGGGGGGAGGTTCCGTACCTGAAACGCAAGCGGTTTAGTTAAGAAGGTACAGATAGATTTGAAGAGGCAGAAACAGCAAAGAGAGGGATAGAGAAAGAGAAAACTTACTTGCGCTGGTCAGTGTACCAGTAGTACGGAGAGGGGTCCATGCCCTCGTGCTTGTAGGCGGCCATCAGCTCGTCCCAGTTGTCCATTCTCATACTACCACCGACGATCTCGCCAACACCGGGCATCAGCACGTCGACACTCTCGGTGACGCGGCGGTCCTCAACGTCCTTCTTCATGTAGAAGGCCTTGATCTCGGCGGGGAAGTGGGTCAGGAAGATGGGCGAGTTGATGATGTCGGTCATCTTGCGCTCGGCGGCCTCGGCGATGTCGTCGCCGAACTCGTGCGGCTTGCCCTCCTCGTTGGGGATGTCGTGCTCGCGCAGCCACTCGATGGCGTCGGAGTACTTCATGCGACGGAAGGGGCGGCTGGGGGGCTTGAAGTCGGGGTTGAGCTTCTGGATGTAGGCGGCGATCTCGGGCTCGGCCAGCACCAGGTCCATAACGCGGCAAATGACCGCCTCCAAGTGGTCGAGCAGGTCGCTGAAGGTGATGAAGTCGAGTTCCGCTTCGATGTGCGTGTACTCGGACAAGTGACGACGGGTGAGGGACTTCTCGGCGCGGAACGACGGGCACACGCAGAAGACGTCTCCCAGCGAGGGCAGACAGGTCTCCAGGTAGAGCTGAGACGACTGTGTCAGGTAGGCGTTCTCGCCGTAGTAGTCGAACTTGAACAGAGTGCTGCCGCCCTCGACCTGGGTCTGCACCATGGCCGGCGGGGTGACCTCCAGCATGCGGTTCTCCTCGAAGGCCGTGCGGAAAGCCCGCAGAGTGGCAGCGCGCACCTTCATCACCGAGGAGACGGTCTCTCCACGGAGCACCAGGTGGCGGTTGTCGTACAGGGTCTGGGGATCGGCATCGGGGGCCACGCGAGTGGTGATGGCCTCCTTGTCACCAGCGGCACGGCCGATGATGGTGAAGAAGTCGGCGTGGAGCTCGCGGTCGTTGGGCGCATGCTGCTTGGGAGGGACCGCGCGCATCTCACCGTGGATCGACATGGAGGTTTCGAGGGTGAGAGTCATGATGTCGTAGGACTTGGCCAAGTCGCCGGTCAGGACACACTGCAGGTAGCCATAGCCGTCGGTCAAGGTGAGGAAGACCACTCCCTTCTGAGCGCGCAGACGATGAACTCGGCCCAGCACGCGAACCCGAGTACCCTTAGTCTCCGGCTCGGGCTTGCCCAACGTCACGACCGCCGGGTCCGTCACGTCCAGACGGATCTTGACCGGCTTGGGCAGAGAGGTATCCTCCTTGATGACGACCTTCTTGGCTTCTTCCAGCAGAGCCTGACGCTTGTCCGCCTCTTGCTTCTCGCGAATGGCCAGGTCCTGCTCCTTGGCGGCCTTTCGCTTCCGTTGTTCGTACAGGTTGGTGGCCTTCTTCAAGGCGGACTTGGTGGCCGGCTGATAGACCAGTTTGGAGGCGGGATCGGCACCCTCACCCGTGGGCTCGGTTTGGGACTTGCGCGTCAAGTACTGGGTGCCATCGGCGGGAGCGTGCTGCAGCATAGCATGCAGCAGCGTCTTGTAGGGGGCAGACTCGGTTCCGGTCGCGGTGGAATCGTCCCGGCCGACATCTTCGTCAATGTAAATGGAAGCCATTGTCGCGGACTGTGTAGGATAGAAAATGCGTTAGACAAGAGGGATATAGAAGAATTGGGTTCGTATGTGTTAGAGGGGAGAGAATGGCAGTGGAGTTATGGAGAATAATGGGGGAAACCAAGTCGATGTACACAGCATGGGTCTTTAAAAGAGATAGGATATCGCAAGGTGAGTCACGGGCCTTATCGAAGGGGGCAAAGCTGGCAGGGGCCACAGGATGCAACCAAGATTTACAATATAGAAGGGAAATTTATAACCTACCAAGGTGATGACTCAATCCAAGAAGGTAGGTATTGTCGCAGCAAGTCCCGCGCCGGAGAAGATGAATCCGCACAGTGCAAAACGGCTTCCTGGAGGGGTAAATTTCTGGATGCGGACGGCCGACGGTTGGTGGATGCCGCGGGCACCCCACAGATGCCTCAGGCAGAGAGATATCTTGGTGCCTGAGTGCCTTGGTACCTGTATGCCTGACGGCCTGAACACTGAGCGGAACTCCGCGTCGTTCTACCGGGACCAGCAGACCCTGCAGTCCACTCCGGAAACCGAACCGATAAGACTTCCTCCAATTCTATGTTCCTGCTTCTTGTACAGATGGTGAAGAACCTAGCTACGCCACTCCCTAATTGATCCGGAACAAAAGATCTACCTAGGTAGAATTGATTTCGACAGAGAAAGTCGCATCTTCTGCAGTCGGCACGGATCAATGTCCCGCCGGCCTCTCCAACTAACCTCTCTCTCCTCTACGCTTCCAGCTTTTCTTCTTGTCTTTGTCCTTGACCTTTTTTTTTCGGTTTATTCTAATTTTTAATTTTTAATTTTCCCTTTTTTCTCCCTCCCCCACCACTAGTCCCGATCTGCCCGCTCTGAACCTGAAGAAAATGGATTTCTCAGATGAAACATGACGACCAGGAGTCTTCGGGTCCCTCATTTATGACACTCCCGGTCCAAATGATCGACTAGTCAATTCTCCGCGTTGGTTTCGGTCGCCCGTCTCTTCCGCTCTGTCTGACTCTGACTCTGACTCTGAGAACTGAGAAGTGCCGACGATGCGATGAAGATGGAGTCTCGAAATCTTGATTCAGCAGTAGCATGAACTAACCGGACAAGATCATCGGCATCTTGGTCTTTGGCGGCCACGACCAAATCTACAATACTCCGTAAATTAGGAACGATCGATTGACGTTGACAGTTCCGATGGGGAATGGACGGTGGTACGCTAAGAATGGACTCCTAGCCCCAAGCTGCTAATCAATCATCTTCACCTCGCCGCTCTCTCCACAGGGGAGTTGACGACTGCCTATTATTAGGATGCCGTCGCGCTAGTCACTTTCCTTACGACGCCAATGTTTGGTTCATCGCGAACACCCCCTTTTTCCTTCCATACTGTATCTCCGTTTGATTATTATTATTATTATTATCATTGTTGGTGTTGTTAGTATTCATTACTTCCTTGCTTACATGGTGATCTCTGGTGATTATCATTATTGCTCCGAATTAATTCTTTATTCATCTGTCTTCAATGTTTGGTTGGCTTCGTTTCTCCACGATTGTTACCGTAATCCAGTGTCGCTGGTACTCTCTTTCATAGTTTCTTGGATATGTTTATTTTGAGCAGTTTGATATTTGTATAATCTATTCTAATATTGTCATCGTTTTGGTTCGATTAACTGGCCATTGTGTTTTTGTCTTTTTCTTCAAGATTTGAGCCCCCCCAAAAAAAGGAAAAATAATAGTCAAAAGAGAAGGGGAAAAGTGCTCTCTCCTCCTGGACTGATTGTTTATTACATACTGCTTTCTCTCCTCTCACTCTCATTCTCTTCCACCCCCTTTTTCCTGCGCTGTTTCTCCCCTCGGAGGGCCCTCTTTCTCCCCACCGAATTCGTTTCGATTTCTTTCCTTTTTTTTTATTATATTATTTCCGGTCATTATTCTCTCTTTTCATCCCCATTGCCTTTTTTTTTTTTTTAGGTCCATCAGTGGCTTCTCTCTTTGTCATTCCCACACTTATCCCTTTCGGGCTTCACTGGGCTCCTTTCGTTCTTTGTGTGCTCCGGTTCGATTGATCTAATAATCAGAAACCCATTGGATTAATGGGTTCGGATTGAATCCATTGCTGTCACCGTTTGTCTGCGGAGATTAACGTCGTCTTGTTCGTGTTGTGGTTAACTTCCAGGTTGGCATTCTCGCAGCCCCTAAAAAACCCACCCCCAAACCCAGCAGCTCCACCACATTCCAATTGACCACTGGGGCTAGACACGTCTTGGGCGATTGTCCCTATTCTGCTTCGTCTTCTGCTCTCCGTTCTCTTCCTCTCTCGCTCTTTCTTCTCTCCCTCTTTCCCTCTCTCTCTCCTTTTTCTTGTTCCCCTTCGTTTCGCCTTCTTTTGGCCTCCCCATTTTCTCTATTTTATTTTATTCTATTTTTCATTCTTTCTTCTGCATTATCTTATTTTATTTATTTTTTATTTCATTGTTTACTCTTACCTTTTGATTTCTCTTCGTTTCCCTCTCTTTTTCCCCCTACCTCTTTTCGGGGGTGATCTTCAGCCCGGCGGCTTTTTTCCCCTTGGATGGTCTCCTGGCCATTCTCGACTGTCGTGTCAATTGCTCCGTCTTCCTCATTTCCCACCCCCTTTCGTTGGTGATAGCGATCCATTCTGTCGGCGACCAATTGACCCGGTGTTCCCTCTTCTTTCGCTAGGGGACCCTCGCGTCCTGCTCGTTCGTTCCGCTCCCTCGCCATGCAAACCTCCGATGCCTCCAGCCTGCCGAGTCGTTTGATCCCTTCCAAGTTCTCTCATCTCAACACGGACAACACGGGATTTTCTCACGGAGCATACAACTCCAACAACGCCCCTCTGCAGGGCCTACCGGATCGGAACGCTCGTCGTGCCAACATTCCTGCCATTAACACCACCGCCGGCCACCATACCCCTGACGCCATGGCGACCTCCGGCACCGCGTTTGATATGAACTTCACCCCTCTCCTTCCGTCCCAGCTCCTCCTCGGCAGTCCTTTCCAGCCTGGAACCCCCTCGGCCTTTGCTTCGCCCCAATTCACCAATTTCGGGGGATTCTCCCAGGCCAATGGCCCCGCTCATGCACAGAACCCGCAGACTCACCTGGGCAGTCCGACCCAACCCTCGCACAACGCCGGTCTCTACTCGGGGATGATGTCCACGGACATGGGGAACTCTCAAATGCTCGCGGGCCCTCAATCCCCCGTGGGTGGCATGGGTGGTCTCGGCAACGCGGCTTTCGGCAGTCCGGCCGCGTCTGTGACCCCTGGCCTCCTGTCTGGTACAAGCCGCACCGTGTACCTGGGAAACATCCCTGCGGAGACCTCCGCTGAAGAGATTCTGAACCACGTTCGCAGCGGACAGATTGAGTCGGTTCGGTTGCTGCCTGACAAGAACTGTGCCTTCATTTCCTTCCTGGACAGCAACTCCGCGACCCACTTCCACTCCGACGCTATCCTCAAGAAGCTCGCCATCAAGGGGAACGACATCAAGGTTGGCTGGGGCAAACCGTCTCAGGTTCCCACCTCCGTTGCCTTGGCGGTGCAGCAATCGGGCGCGTCGCGGAATGTCTACCTGGGAAATTTGCCCGAAGAGATGTCGGAGGACGAGTTGCGCGAGGAGCTTGGCAAGTTTGGCCCCATCGATACCGTAAAGGTCGTCAAGGAGAAGGCTATTGGCTTTGTGCACTTCCTGTCCATCAGCAACGCGATGAAGGCGGTGTCTCAACTTCCCCAGGAGGCCAAATGGCAAGCTCCTAAGCGTGTCTTCTATGGAAAGGACCGCTGCGCGTACGTTTCCAAGACGCAGCAGCAGAACGCGGCTCAATTCTTAGGGATCGCGCCGGGATACGCGCACATCCTCAACTCCGCGGATCGCGATCTGATTACCAACGCACTAGCCCAGCAGTCCGTTGCAGCCGCAGCCGTGGCCACTACGGCCGGCGGTGTCAACAACCTGGGCAATCGCACCATCTACCTGGGCAACATCCACCCCGAAACCACCATCGAGGAGATTTGCAATGTGGTGCGTGGTGGTCTCCTGCATCACATTCGCTACATTCCTGACAAGCACATTTGCTTTGTTACGTTCATCGACCCCACTTCAGCTGCCTCGTTCTATGCATTGAGTAACCTGCAGGGCCTGATGATCCACAACCGCCGTCTCAAGATCGGCTGGGGCAAGCACTCTGGCCCTCTCCCTCCTGCAATCGCTCTGGCTGTCAGCGGGGGTGCCTCGCGCAATGTTTACGTGGGCAACCTGGACGAGTCCTGGCCTGAGGAGCGCCTCCGTCAGGACTTTTCCGAATACGGCGAGATTGAGCTGGTCAACACGCTGCGCGAGAAGAGCTGTGCATTCGTGAACTTCACCAACATCGCTAATGCTATCAAGGCCATCGAGGGTATGCGCAACCGGGAGGAGTACCGACGCTTCAAGATCAACTTCGGCAAGGATCGCTGTGGCAATCCACCCCGACAGACTGGCAATGGCGGCCAACAGGGCCGAAACGGCTCGGGACTCGAGGGACCGCAGTCGCCGTCGCCCGCCCTTAACGGCTTCCAGCAGAACCTCAGCCAATCTGGATCTCAATCCAGTCCAACCCGTTCCGCTTTGTCCCCCGCACCCGGCTCTACGGGATCCCAGAACGGCCAGCAGAACCGACACCCCCTCCAGACGGTGTCCTCACCGTCGGGGGTCTTGAACGTTGGGGCAAACAACCCGCTCACCATGTACCTTAATCAGATGTCGGCTCAGCAAGCTCAGGAGCAGGAGAACCGCCTGAACGACCCAATCGCCCTGGCCGCGTTGCAGTCTCAGCATCAACCACCTCAGCAGCAGCCCTTGTACAACGGTGGCAGCACCGGCGAACTTAGCAACGGCAACATCGAAGCGCCCCTTCATCAGCACAAGCCGTCTAGCAATGGCTATTTGAACGTCACCAACGGTTCGACGGGACCGGGTCATCACGCCACCGCCAGCATCAGCAGCCTGAATGTTCCTCGCGCGCAACACTCGCGTGCCGTCAGTTTGCCGTCATTCTCGCAGGAGCCATTCGGACCCATTTCAGGTCAACCTAGCCATGGCGGCCGCTCGGGCGTTGCCCACCAGCCGCAGAGCAGCTTCTCCAGCTTCACTTCTGCCCTTGGAGGGTTGAACCATGCCGGCTTCGGATTGGCCATCCAGAATGAGAATTCGTTGCCAGGCTGGGCCGAGGAAGAAATCGGAGCCAAATAATCTTACATTCTCATAATCTTTGAGGGGAAATTTATTTTTTTGACTTACACACTCTTCTTTTTATTTCAGTTGTCCTGGGTGAAGCATTTTATCTTTCACTTCCCACCAATTTCCTTGGATCTCCCCTTCTTTCTCATGTCACCATTCTGATTCAATTCTCTGTACTGGTTTGACAAACCCTGTGTGTGGTTCAATTCTTCGCCCGCAATTTTTCTGTGCAAATTTCGTTCTTCGCCAAACCCCCATTATAACCCTTTTAATCATTCTTCTTATACCATCCTTGTATTGCTAGTTGGTTATGATGTCTTGTACTTTCTCTTGTCTGTTTTATTTTCTAATTCTTCTTTTTCTGTTTCTTCTTTCTTCCCCTTCATTTTATCCCTTTCTTGGCTATGCATAATTATTGAATTTCCAGTTGTCTACGAAAACGGATGAGATTGCGGTTTAACCCGGGAACTCGTTCTGAGATGTTCATCCTACCCATTAGCATTTGCGATACCATTTGATGGAATTACATAGTTGTTGAGGTAATCAGCTTGGTATTGGTGATGGCATCGAGGCCATTGAGGACTTTAGTGAAAGACGAATCAAAAAGATATCGAAGTACACGATCGCATCTCTCTTGTAGGGCTCATGGCTACTCTCTTCTTACTTTCAAATCCAAGTCTACACAGACGGATTGTTGATGACGCTCGTCATTCTTCCCCATGCGGTTAAATGTCAACAGCGGCGCGCCAGGTGTAGCACGTGACCGGGGCCGCTAAAGCGCGACCCATGGAACCTGAAGAACTTGGAGATCTTCAGACGTCATTTCCGTCATTCTCGTTTCCAGCTCATTCCCGTCGCAATTTTGCAACGATGTCTTTGCCCCCAGAACAGATCAATATCAAACGCCGTCGAGAGGAGGAGCCCGTGGACACGCTATGTAAGTATACTTCCATCCTCGTGAACTAGTTAGCTTGGCCATTCAGCTGGCTGGCTGGCCAGCTAGCTAGCTAGCTAATCTTTCTTTTCTTTCTCACCTTTCTTTCTCCGATGAGTCTGGCTCTCACCCGTTAGCCTCTCCTCGTAATTACACGAAAAACGTGGATGGAAAGGAGAAGAAGAGGATATTCCGTTGTCCCGTTGTCTCTTTACACCTACTAATTCCTCATCACAGACATCCAGTCGGAATTGCACCAGACTAAGCGTCGTTTCACGGACTTTGTCTTCCAGCGAGTTGAAATCCGAAGTGGCGATGGCAACAAGGGTTCCCCAAGTCCATCGCCAGCCGAAAGGGATTTGCGCAGTCCGCGCTCGGTGAGCAGCGCCTTCCCGGGATCGACTCACTCTCGTACGGTGGCGTCGGGGGGTACGGGGGTGCCGTTGGTGAGGGCCACATCGCCGGGGGCTGAGTTTCGTGAAGCCAAACGTCTAGCGGCTCTGCGTAAGGAGAAGGAGGAACAATTAAAGCGGGCGCTGCACTCGTCGCCAACGTCCACGAAGTCCGCCGGTCCTGGTCGCAGCGCTGAAGATGGCGACTCCGAGCCTGCGGCGGCGACGACGACAACGACAACGTCTAGCGGCAGATCGAGTCCCGCGCCGTCTGCGTCGCCGGGGATGCGACGCTTTCAAATTTCTCGCAGCAAGAGTCTTCTACGAGGTACAGCAGCGGCAGGAGTGCAGAAACGCAAGGGAGACGGGGCAGTCGCCGTACTGGTGGAGAAGTTAAGGCGCAAACCACATTCCAGACAAGCGTCGATGGTCGCGGATGCCGCCGTGCGGGCGGAAGATCTCAGAGGGTCGCCGGATGCAGTTTCTACGAAAACTATCGATTCGCGTGACAGTTCAATACCCCACGAGGATGCACCGACTACCGCTCGACCCCGCAAGCGACCGGTCGTCAACAGGGCAGAGAGACAGTGGCGGGAGGAGCGTAAGACGGCCATCGATGCAGCCAAACGGAATATCAACCAGGTGTTGGAGAAGGAGGCCCAAACTCAGCACCAGAGCAACTGGGACGATGAATCGGAGCGACTGGCTCGCGAGTTCGAGCAAATCGCATTGGAGATGGAAGGAGCAATGGAAGAGGACACGGAGGACGTCATACCCGCGCCATCGTCGACAGAGACCCGGTCTGCTCCGGTGATGCCCAAACCGCCGTTGAAATACCCACCTCGTACACCCAATAAGCATCGGGCTGGGAAGTCTGCAGAATTGCCGCAAGGGGGTGAAGAGGCTGCCAAGGCCCAAGAGGTGGAACACGAGGAGGATAGCGACGGAGAATATGTCTACGATACGTATATTCGAAAACCCTTGCCGGAGGGGGCAATCGGCAGCGGAGAGATCAGAGACAAAGGAGGCGATCTGCTTACGAACCCACTGGCCGATTGGCAACAGAACCAAGACGCTTGGTTTCGGCAGAAGGGTATCGACACGACCCGTGCCGACGTTGGGGTCATCATCATTACGCAAGAGGACGAGGAGTATTGGGAGCATTTTATTGAGGAGGATGACGATGAAGACCGCTGGGACAGTGAAGATGGCGATTCGAACGGTAAGTGGCAATCCAACCATGTGCCGGGGAGAAGCCGAAAACGAAGACAAAAGGACCAAGAAAGAATGCGAAACAGGCTGACGAAGGGGGGTGCTGAATCTAGCTGAGAATAATCCCGCCAATGAATATCCGGACGAAGACCTGTCTTGGGACGATGAAGATGACGATCCCATGGCCATCTACCACAAATACCGCCACCACGCGGTGTCAGACGATGAGGAATTCGGCATGAACGATTCGGCCAGTGAAAGAGCGTTTGGCTACTCTGGGCGCCGGTCGCACGTGGAGTCCGATGACGAGAGCTGGTGATTTTCTTCCTTCCACATTCCACATTCTTTTCTTCTTCTTTTCTTCTCTTCTCGCGGGTGGCTGCATCCGATCAATTATCATTATCGCTATGAATTCATGCTTCTCAACGACATCCCACGCCCGCAAGGGGGACAGAGAGCGGGGTTTCTTCCAACCCTGTCTGGAATCACACCCGCTGATGAAACGGTCGATCCCATCCTTTGGATCGGCTCTTGTCCCAACTTCATTCTCAACGTGGTAATCCAGGCCCCCGATCATCGCCTTGCATGAAAATAGACCAAATATGCAATTACCGAGAGACCTACCTTTCCGTAAGCAAGGCTAGACTTTTTTTTCTCTTTTCTTTTTTCGTTTTGTTTTGGCATTCGAGACAGATTAAAAACAAAGGCACCAATCCGACGCATGCATGCAGCTTATATCTGCATCGGGGCCATTCTGCAGTATCCTCTCCAACCGCAACGCAACGCGAGGAGGGCAACGACTCATTGACGTGTCGAGGTGGAGAAGGTAAATGAAGGGAATCCAGGCATCCAAGCCCAAGGGAGGCTAAAAAATACCAACGCGACTCAACCGTCTCCGGCAGTGCAGCAATGCAGAAGAGATAGTTTGGAAAAGGTCGGGAAGGGGGGCAAGAGCGACGGGATTCTCATCCTTCGATCAACCGATTGCAGAAAATCAAACATCCCAACCCGCGCGTGGCCGACTAATTTAGTCTCGCTCCGTGCAAAGTCCGTACAGTCCTATTCCTAGTCGGGGGGTGGGGGGTGGCCACTGGCCATGAAGACATGAAGACATGAAGGAGGCCATGACCATGCCATTGGCATGTCATGAAAAACTCACTACTCCGTACTCCGTAGATGGACTTGAAGATCGAGTCTCTTGCACACGGACATGGACATGAGACTGGATGGAGACCTACGGACGACGGAGTCTACTAGTAGTAGGTTTGTGCTCACCATCAAGTTTAACGCTACGCAAGCTTCCATCCTTCCCCTTCCTTTCCATCCTTCCTGCTGCCCACATCGCTGCCCCCTCTTTCCATGTGGTTGAGAGAAATGAGGCTAAACACATCTCAGCGTGAGGATTCTAGTCGTCCGGCTGTTCTGCTCTAGTTTTGAAAATTGCCTTCAGAAAAAAACAAAAAGAATGGTGTACACCGTAAAAAAAAGAACCCACTAGAAAAGGAAAATGAATCAATTAAATCCAAATGTGGATATTGCTTGATTTGGGGGCCATTCTTCACCTCTTCGTGTTTCGATTTGCCTTTCTTTTAATATTTTTTTTTCTCAACTAAGCACAAATCAATATTCAAAATTAAATAAAAATAAAAAAGTCTCACTTTTTGGCCTTCTCTTCTTAAGGAACTCACGGACTGCTTACCGTTGCAGTCACTGCGTATTTTCCTATGCGGGTTAGTCTACCCGGACCTGTTCTTTTGCCTTTTTTGTGAATAATCCAACTATATCCTCTGTATAGTGTACTCTGTATAGTGTATTCGGTACACCTTCGGAGCTGAACGAGGTATGACTAGGAGATGTTTCCAGAACTGAATCCACAGATCTCAAATTGAATCAAGGAGGAGAAAAAGTCCGGAATGTACATCCAGGCGGGTCTCAAATGGTCCGTTGTCACTTGTCTTTGCAGTTGCAGTCCGCAGTCTGCATACCACGGCATTGACGAAGTGTACCGTACAGACATATCCCCCCTAGCTTTGAATGGTGACGAGTGATGACAACAGGCTGGTAAAGGGTCTTTCTGCGTGATACATCAATTCCTAGGGATATGGAGTCACGAGCGACTGTCTGTACCTACGGAGTATATAGTACAGACAGGCAGACTACCGAGTTACCTTGCACGAGTCTAGGTAGGTGTCTCGGGAGATATCCTCCGTACCTAGATATGAATGATAAGATGTATCTGTCTCTCCTCTGACCTTTTTTCCTAGCCGTGCAGGATGTATGTACTACATTGACTGCTTGTAAAGCAGGCAGGTTTGCAGAAAAGGGTAGTAGTCGCGAGGCAAGGGCTCTTATTAGGTATCTATCTACTTACCTAACTAACTATCTATCTATCTATCTATCTATCTATCTCTACTCCGGATACTTCTCCCTAACTTACATGATTCAATTGGAGTATGTTGTGCAACGGATATACATCATTCTACCTTAGGTTATTTATCTTGTAGTACTGCGTAAGTATACTGTATCGTATAGTTAATACGATAATACGTGAGCTTCCACAGGCCTGCCTGATCGCGTTAGCCTCTACACTAACGACTGACTAAGAAAGTGTCTGGAGTGACCACTCTCGACTCCACCGGGTTTGGTTTCCACTTTCCACTTCTAACTTCTGACTACGGAGTATCCTACGGAGTAAGTAAGGACGGACCATCAGGACGACCGAGTACGGCCGAGCCCGTTTGATGGTTCCAGCCTTGGGCCTTGGGTCAAAACAGATGAAGGCGTGATTAACAATGAGAGGATTGCGTGTTGTGTCTCGGTGTGGACTTTTGGTATTGTATGACTGACTGTAGGTCAAGTATGCACGGAGATAAGGTGCCTAGCAAGTGTAACAACATGATTCAAACAAAACAAGAATATCGACGATTTCCTACCCAATGATCCTGAAAATAAAAAAACAACCAAACAAGCCAACGTCATAACAATGTATGCATGCTAAAATAGTCAGAGAGCCTCCCAGTATGTGTGATAACAAGATTGAAACGAAAAAAAAAAAAAAAAGGAAAGACAGGATTATGAAACACCATGCAGTATGAAGTAAAGATCATATCAAGTGACAAAAGGTAAAATGAGTCATAGGGTGTAGAAGGAGAAGACAAATGATCAAATGAAGAAAGAAAACTCAGGAGGTATCTTCGCAGCGGCCGTAAAGAGTGATGAGAATCGAAAAGAAAGAGTTCCTTTTTTTTAGAAGTGAAGAAGAAAGAGTGCCGTGCATGACGACGTGATATCTGCCAAAGTCCCCTTCATACGAAGAAGACCTAATGGCTCGTACGTCGACCGTTCACTACCTCTTGGCTCTCGCGCATCCACGGATACCAAATATTCGCCCATTCGATGACTCCGTACTTGGGAGCTCGCGAGTCGCTGAGTCCTGAGCCCTCGCGGAGGAATTCGCCGTCTCGCATGCGCCGCTGCTCGCGCAATGTCGGACACTTCTTGTCCCTGATGAACCGGTAGAACTTGCACTGGATGCCCTGGAACCCGCGTCGTTGGCGGTTGGGAAATTGCCGGTTGAAGCTTTCACGCACCTCCTTCCACTCCTGGCAGAGATCCACCCGGTGGTACCAGATGAAGTACATCTCCTCCTCCTCGTACTTGGGACGAGGAGGGCGCCGTCTCTCGGCGGCGTTGCTGGAGGTGCTGGAGACCGAGTCGTAGCGGTCTCGCGAGTACGCTCCGGGCGAGGACTCCGCTGACCGGGCGTAGGATAGATAACCCTGGTCTTGAGACCCGGGCAGATCCCGATAGGAGCGGCTATCGGCAAAGGAATAGATGTAATGGTTGGGACTAGGAGGATAGAGAGGCGAGGCCTGGGGACTGGACACGTAGTGGAAGTTCGATGAAGGGGAATCGGTGTCTTCCGACCCCGACGGGTTGAGAAGAGAGTCAATGGCCATTCGACTTTGGCGGGACGATGGCATGTAGCTGGATCGGTCGTGGAATGCAGTCATGTTGTCGGTACCATCAAACCAAATGAACGAGTTGATATGAAAGGTATAATAAGCTAGTTTGAGAGTGGCGAAGGAAAAAAACAACGGCCGATATAAAAATGAGGCTTCGAAGGTTATGTGACTAAGAGTGAAATTGGTGAAACACGATGGATCAAGTATCACTTTTTGGGGGCGTGATGGTAGTGCTTGGTATGATCAAACGTTGGAAGGTTGGGAGGGTGACCAGGCGGTTATAAAGTGGGAAAAAAAAAAAAAGGGTCACCTGAAGAGGGACGACAAATTAAAGAAATCGAGTAATTGAAAAGTGAGAAAAGGGAAAAGAAAAAGGCGAAGTTGGAGACGGAGTTGGCTTTAAGAGAGAGAAAAAACGGCCAAGAGGATTGATGTTTCTCAGTCACTTGGTTCACAGGTCTTTATCGAGTGTCTCCCCCAGAGGTAAAGAAAATGTTGGACTGGAAGGAATGGGGTCAGGCGGAGACGCGGTGCTCTTGATAAATTAGGGAAATTCCGAGACTTTTCTTCGAACACCCCCCAACAGTGCACTAGACACCCGGTTGGATTCTTAAAATGAGGGTAATGGCTGCCAAGGGTCCCGTTAGTTGTGCTTAACCCATGCAGCGTACCGAATCCTTGGATCTTGCCGGCCTGTAATAGAGACCGACGCTGACTGCGCCCCCTGTCCGGATAGTGGAGAGATTGCCTCGATGGCGGGTACACGATGTCCCTCCGAAATTGATGCGTACGGAGTAGCGCCGCGAGCAGCAGGGGGATTGATTGATGGATGGATGGAGGGGAGCCAGACAGCTAGACAAGGGTTGTATGTAGGTCGAGGTGGAGGTATGTGTGAGAGTGAATGCACTATAAAAAAAGAAAATGAAAAAGAGAAAAAAGAGTTTAGGCTGGCTGATATGCTTCTTGTCTAGCCCTATTGCAAGCAAAGAGCAAAGCTGTAACCAAATTGGAATCCACCGCTCTAGGAGAGGAAGTTGAAGAGAGAGAGAGGATGAAGTAATTTAGACCGCCGCGGATGGAAGTATGTAGGTACCTTAGGCAGACAGGTCTGTATGTATGTATGTATGTATGTAATGATAGGGGTAATTAATTTCGAAGATCTGAAGAGAGGGAATTTCAGAAATCCAAAAAAAGTAATAAAAAGTAATTAGGTCACCTTTTTTTATGGTGTTATAATCCTTGACTGTATTATATGCAAGGATAAACAGAGGGGGGGGATGAACAAGCTAATATACCAGACGAATTCGCCACTTTTCTTCTGATACACCAATCCAGACTCCTCGAAAGGAGAAGCGAGAGAATCAAACGTTGAACAGCATGAGGGAGCAAGTGGAGATCTCAAATCCCAAGGGTCACGTTGGCAGACAGACGTGCAGGATGAATGATGGATGGGGAAGAGAGCGATTCTGGTCCCCGTTGGATCGGGTAATTAGAATGCTCACTTATTTTATTTTATTCTATTTGATTTTATTTTTAATATTATTCTTCGGTGTTATTTTTAATTGCGAATTTTTTTTTTTTTCCTTTGGAAAAACTACCAAACCCGATTTCCAGTTTCAGTTTGCTTCCCCGTATGTAAATCGCGTAATGCCTTATTTCCTAGGGAGATTGCAGTTGCACTATTTTGCCTATTTCTGAATTCCTACTTGTTCCGGTAGATTTGTTGTGTTCCGTAATTTCACCGTTCTCCCATTCCTTCTCTTTCTCTCTCGCTCTTCCTCTATGAATTAATTGAATTAATAGAAATATTTGAAAATTTGAAACCCATCCTCCCATTCAAACTAAAGGAATCGATACCCAGAAGGATCCACCGCAAGCAACGACGGAAGGAGGGGAAAAGTCCAGGTCTAGTTCATGCAATATGCGGCAAGGATATATCAGAACCAAAGGATTGAAAAGGAGCCGCAACAAAGACAGACAGAAAAGAAGAGAGAGAGAAAAAAAAATACAGAACACAGAATCTTGGGTCTGGTTCGGGGGCCCTCGGGAAGGGTCGATTTGGGTGGAAAAAGTGGAGAGGAATGTCAATTAGCAATGCGGCGACGGTTCCAGGGAAAAAGCCGCGATGGCACGTCGCATCCACGCCCCAACGGGTAGAAGTCGGATTTTAACTTGCCGGCATTTTGTTCTAGTATTTGCCTCGAACGGTTGAAACCTAATTGTCACGAGGTACGGATTCTCCGTCTGGTTCGAGTCGAAGTCGGCCAGTCGGCCAGTTTGGCCACGCGGGGGAAAGCGGCAATTTGCGCTCTGAATAATGAAAATGGGAAATGGGAAAGGGAAGGAAAAGTTAACTTGACCAGAGTTGTCGGACGATCTTCTGTCCCCCCCCCCGGTGTCAGATTTGGTTCTTACTTCCTCTCCCCCCTCAAAGGCTCAAACCCGCCATCAATGGACAGGGAATTACAAATACTGGGGAAAGAGAGACGCTGCGAGGCTGCGAGGCTGCGAACCATACTTTGCAACTGTCGCAATGTCTCGACGTGGTAAATTCCGTGGAGACAGTCCGATATACTCCTACGGAGTCAACTACGGAGTCCACCAAGGCCTACTCCGTACTATGAAGAAGACGTGCGGTTGACGATCCTGACAAGCTACGTAAGGGGGGCCGTATTTCTTTTCCCTTCCTTTGCTGGCCACTAGAAGCCCTTCATTTCGAGGTCGAAGGAATGGAAGCACATGGATATTAATCTGTGGTGTTTCTGTGTAGATCTCCTAATCAATTCTGATTTGCCTTGATTAGCTGTTATTCACCCAGTAGATTATCATGACCATCCGCAGCATCATCCGCATCATTATGATGAAGTTGTTGGATTCCTTCCCACTTGATTGATTGAGTATTATTATTATTAGTAGTGTTATATTATTATGGTTTCGTCACGAGCCGAACAGCCCTCTCTCCCCCATTTTTGGTATTAATTTTAATTCATTGCGTTTCCATTATTTTCTTGGGTACGACCAACCCGAGAGGTAGATCAGGCGGAAAGGCTCCGTCCGCGCATCGTCAGGGTGCAGGACTGCAGACTCCAGTCTCAGCCAGTCTGTCCGTGTCCCCCCTAACTGAAGATGCTGGACCAAGTATACACCGTACACACTACCGGCAGCCCTGCCACGGCATGAAGGAAGATTCGGGTTCCCGGAGCTGATAGGTCCTCGACGGGCTGCAAGAGGGGTCGACCGAAACGAAGCATTGCAGGGTTTCAATGGCGCCGGCGGGAAGCATCAGACGACCCAGTCGTAGGTATCTTCTTCATAGCTCCTAAGTTCACTCCAACGACACCTAAATTAAATCGTATTATACTTATTTCCCTACTTCAAGTACTACCATTGCCCTGGTTTGGTATCTTACCGCAAGCTACTCCGTAGGTAGTCAATGATTCAGCGGTGGTTAATAATTATTCAATCAATAATCATGATTAACAGGCCCCATCTTAATATCTCCCTATCTCTCTATTCCTCCGTCTTCGGTGGTTTTATTGATGATTCCACCCTCCGTCATCCGTGATCGATCCAATTCTTATTAGTTGTGCCTATCGTACCCTGCATGGTGGTTTTGAGTTTTGCCAATCATCTCTGACAGACGCTTCTCTTATCCACCGAAGGGGGAAGAAATTAAAATGGAAATAAATAAATCAAAAGGGAAAAACCACCTGCACAAGCACGCAAGCAAGACACAGAAGAATTGTCGGTGGGAGATCTCGAAGCAAGGTCAATCTTCGGACCCGCCGTTGGTGATGAAGAATCTCATCCTTCTTTTTCTGTTATTTTTCATTCTATTTTATTGGTAGGTATATCGCACACTCTCCTCCCTTTTCGTAAAATAAAAACACCATCGGTCCACCACCAACAATGGAAAGGAAATTGAGACAGACAGACGGGTGATTCAAAATAATAATAATAATAATCACAAGAAACACAAACAAAACCGAACTAACTCAAGATCATCAAAGCTCAACTGCGGCAGTCCTACGCCGCAATGGGTCGTCACTCGTCATCCCTGCCCTACCCAGGCAGAAGAGAGAGAGGGAGGGGAAAGGGAAATGAAACCAACAGACCAGGGGAAGGGTGATTGGGCGCGGAAGAGGAGATTCAGCAAGCTAACCTGCAGTGGCTTGGCTGCTGAACCGTGGTACTGGGACCAATGAACGAATAGGAGTGAGGCTCTAAGGGCGTCTAGCTCTTGGGTCTCAGAATATTACACAGGGCCATTCTTGCTGAAGGACAGGCGACGTGACACGATGTGTGTGGGTCCCCGCCTTGGCCATGGGGGGCATGGCTCTTTTTTTTTGGTTTTTTTTTGGGCCATTTCTGGCCCCCAAAGATTGTCATTGGCACTTGTTTCCTTTTTTTTCCCAAGGGCTTATTGGTTAATGGTTAATGGTTAATGGTTTATTTCTTTTTTCTTTTTCTTTTTTTTCACCCGTTCTCTGTTTGGGAGGGGGGCACTCTGCCTGGTTTGCCCTCTGTTTCTGTTTCCGTTTCGATGATTGAATCTGGATCATGTTATTGTTTCAGGCAATTAATTTTCTAGGTATCTGTGTACTCGGAGTACGGTTTTCTGTCCACACACACACATCTTACCTGCATCTACCTTCTTTTCTTCTTTCTCAACCCTGTCCTCCACGGCGTAGGAGTAGACCAACAAGCCCCCTCCCCTTTCCCCCCCATGCCCTACAAAAGGTACTAAAAAAAGTAATGTGCACAGCAGTCATCCGGAACAGGGCCATGCAGGCCAGGTAACAATCTGCAGAACCTGCCAACACATCTCTGCATAAGTGAGACGATCCTCGCCCCCCTTCTATTTTCTGACTTGATCACTGATGAAATCATCGGCTTACCGTTGGGAGGGGGTAGGCAAATGTAAAGAAGGGTGGGTTGATTTTCCCTTTCGATTTCCTTTTAGACGTACATACGTAGATGAATAGATATCTGGTATTGAATCTATAAAGTACGTATGT